TGGCTTATTATATTTCGTTATATAATACCCCAATTTGGTAAATTTTCGGTAAATAATTCGAGTTTCTGACTGAAAAACGTGCAACTAAGAAATAATTTTTTTGCTCAAAAACGCCTGAAAATGGCAAAAAAAAAACACCATTTTCGACTAAATTTAATAAGTTTTAAAGTATTTTTGACAAAATTTCCTGAAATGAATGCGTTTTTGACTGTAAAACGTGCAACTGAAAAAATAAATAAATTTTTTGCTCAAAAACGTATGTATTAAAACGCCCGAAAATGGCGAAAAAACCACCATTTTCGACCAAATTTAGTAATTTATGGCTTATTTTTGACAAAATTTCGGAAAATAATTGTATTTCTGACTGCAAAACCACCTAAAACTCAAAAATAATATCATTTCCGACCCAAATCGTCGATTTTTCGTCTCATTCTTGATAAAGTTTCGTTAAATAATTGCGTTTTTAACAGAACAACGCTGGAAAAAAAGACAAAAAATGCCATTTTCTACCCAATCTTGTAATTTTCCGATCTGCTTTAGCCAAATTTTCGCTCAAAAACGCTTGAAACAGAATTTCGTGACCAAAAATGCAGAAAAAAGAATAATTCAAATTTCACACCTGTGTAAAAAGTTACTCGAGCGACGAGCGGCAAAGCCGTGAGCCCCCTTCCATTTCTACGCAATATTTTCCAACACTGCTGCGTATTACCAACTGATTTTAAAAATTTTCATTTTTTGCACAAAATAGAAGAAACACTCGAGTCTGAAAAAACCTCATATTTATACTATTTTCAGGAACTTCAGTTTGTCGAGGGGACAGTGGAGGTGGACTGGTTGTCAAGTCTTCGACCACTGGCAGATACTACCTCGCTGGGATTTTGAGTGTGGCTCCCACAGGTCCTTCGGGGGGCTGTAACAGTCAACAGTATGCCCTTTACACTCGAATCTCCTTCCACAACGATTTTCTCTCGGGGAAAATAAAGTAGCACAAGTTTTATTTTAAAATTTTAATCAGCCTGATTTCTATCGTAAATAAAGTCATTAGTACTGAAAAGTACACCAACATTTATTTTCTTTCAAGCTTCTTTCACCCGATAAAAATAAATGCAATGTGTACCTAAAGTAACAACCAATTAGTATTTCTTCACACATTCACTATGATGTCATCATATCACTAGCAGACGAAGTATTTACATTGGGCCCTTTTAAAGAGTCGTTAATATCTCGTCGAAACATTGATAAATTCTGAGTAAATCTGAAAGAAAAATCAATGAAACGTAAAAATTAAAGTGTCCTCTCTCCTCTTACTTGTCCCTATTTTTCGTAAGCAAATTTCTTTCTATTCCATCCATTAGATTCTCAAACCACTGCACCATCGCTGCTTGTTTATCCGGTGGTTGGCTCCTAATAATATTCTCTCTCATTTGATTAAAATACTCCTCGTTGAGGAGAATGAGACCTAGCAATGGCCTAGACATCGACCACTGATTCCGACAATCTTCAAACATGATCACATTTAAAACGGTACTTAGAATTTGTTGCAAAATTTCCGGATGCATCTCTAACACTTTTAGGAACATGTCGCTGTTTGGTGTCAAACCAACTCTTTGTTTTTTTCCCGGATATACTGAAACCGGAACTATATCTCTGAAAAATCACCCCCACACTCACCTTTTTGCGTCAACTGTTTGAACAAATAGGTCACTATGTGATCCAACGTTGCACAACAGCCGGTACAAACCATTGTATCTAAAATTTCCTGAGTCAACAAGTCTACAAGACTACTAAACACCCACGCACACAAGCAAAACGCTCTTTTGACAAAATTTCGCGAAAACTGCAGGTTTTTTGATTAAAAATATACAAAGATGCTCGAAAAAAGCAAAAATAACACCATTTTCGACTAAATCTAGTGGTTTTGTGACAAAATTTCGTGAAATAATTGAGTTTCTGATTACACAACAACAAAACCCAAAAATAATATGATTTTAGACCCAAATTGACAATTTTTCGTCTTTTTCTTGATGAAATTTCGTTAAACAATTGCTTTCTAACTGAAAAACAAAAATGCTAAAAAAAAGCAAAAAATGCCATTTTCAACCCAATTTAGTGTTTTTTCGACATATTTMTGACGAAATAATTGGGTTTCTGACTGCACAACGGATTAAAATTCTCACAAAAGGCAAAAATAATATAATTTTCGACTCTATTCGGTGATTTCTCGATCCGGTTCAGTGAAATTTAGCGAAAAAAAAATTTTAAGTCATACTTTTGACCAAATTGTGTGAAATAATTGCATTTCTGATTGAAATATACGTGCAATTGAAAAAAACAATACTGATATACAKAAAATATACAAAATCGCTAGAAAAAAAGCAAAAGTAAACACCATTTTCGATCAAAATTAATCATTTTTGGCTTATTTTTGACAAAATTTTGAGAAATAATTGCATTTCTGAATGAAAACAGTGCAATTTCTCGCTGCAAAATTAAAATTTAGTGACTTTTCGATCCGGTCTTACATTTTTTTAGTTTTAGTTTTTAGTTTAAGTGTTCAAAAAAGGCAAAAAAAAAAACAGTTTGGTAATTTTTTGATAAGTAATTGGGTTTCTCACTGAAAAACATTTATGCTCAAAAACCTATTAAAACACTCGAAAAAGGCCAAAAAAAAACACCATTTTCGGCCAAATTTATAGATTTTTGTGCTTATTTTTGACAAAATTTCCCGAAATAATTGTATTACTGCCTCCACAATCCACTAAAAATCACGCAAAAAGCAAAAATAAAATCATTTTCGACACAATTTGG